CACACATTCGTGTGTTTATTTTTAACTTTTTTTCACTTTCACATTTACCCACGGGTTTACACAACTTATTGCAGAAACCAGAAATAAAATCAAATGACTTTGAGCCAATTTTTTGTTAACTTTTTTTTCTTTTTGAACTGACTCTTGGCACGAATTGTAAAAGTTTGGATAAATATTCAATATTTATGTGGAGTTGGTTCATATAACACACCTGGGTGTATTCCTGTTATTAATATTTTTAATGGCTGTTTAGAAAGTTAATCTATTGTATTTTTATATTTGACCCAACACGCCTTCGCTTTCTTAATCTTTTTGAATAATACATTTATTTTAATTTAAAGGATTGTTTAATATCTAACAAATAAAAATGGAATATTTAACGTAATTATATCAGATAATAGATCATAGCTATATTAAATAATTTCGTAGACCCCTTTTTCTCTTTAGGCTATGGCTTGTTTCCCAGCCCTCAAGGAGAGTAACTTTAACTGTGAGTATACACAGAGTGTGTAGAAGAGCTTTATTATCTCCTGATGATGCTCAGAAGGTGTCGCTTGTAGGTGACAGCCCGTTTACCCCCCCCCCCCCCCCCCCCCCCCCACCCCCGATGCAGCACGTCCAGCCATCGATCATCTGCCCCCAGTGCCACCGTCGGTGTCACAACATGATAATGCGGCTGCACGCAGGCGGCGGTGATTCCCAAGGTTCTAAATCCCAGAACGGTTGGATGCAGCGGGACACTTTTACAGACATGACCGCTTAAAGCTCCCGCCGTCCGGCCGCAGAGGCTGCAGGGCGCGCACGGCGCACCGCGGACTTTTACGCACAGAAACACCGGATCATGTGATGAACCTGGCTGTTATTTTAGCGGTGAGTATCAAATCTCCTTTGACTTCTTTATATAGGAAATAAGCATTTAAATAGGAGCAACAATTAAGAACAAACTTGTGGTTTTTAGCTGGATTTGTGAAATAATCAGCATGTCATCCCACACAAACCTTCTAGCGAGTCTGAAACAATATAAGGAGTCCACATCAGCGCCTGCTCACTGTAAACCAACCACCGTGGCATTATAAAGCAATTAAGCTCCTTCAATTAGCATCCATAAAAGCAAATTGGCGCAGCACCGTCTCTCCTGGAGCTGCTCTCTCTGTGAGGGTCAGTGCGTTTTGGTATCCTGGAGGAGAGCAAGGGGGCAAATACCGTCACTTCCACTTAATCCGCTTTGCAGTGACGGTAATGCACTGAGTCGTTTCAATAAAATCAGTGCGTTTTACTTCCAAACGACTGCGCGCAAACTGACAGAATGTTTGAGACTAATGAGAGCTGGACATGCGCTGTTTGGACACGGAGTTTAGAACTAGTCTCGGCAGGTTTACGCATGTACACGTTCATATATCAATGACAAATGCAAACGCATTGTTAATTTTAATGATTTAATTTCTGTCCTGATAAATAAATCCTGTAGCAGCTCAGGTACTCCAACGTCTGTCGCACTCTCTGGGATCTGCATGAGGACCAAAAGGCAGCAGCAGAAGTCAAACTGAGGTCAAACTTTTTTTTTGCAGCCCCGCAGCTTTGCGCACACACATGTCTGGGATCTGCACAGAAGGCCACCGAAGCGCTCTGGTTTGTGTCACTGCAGCAGCACTCACGTAGACCTGCTGCAAAGTTTTCACAGTTCATCTAATTACCTGAAACTACTTCTGTGTTGTAGTCTGTCAGAACTCCAGTGCGGGTTTATTAGCGCCGGCAGAGAGCCGCGGCGCAATACTTTAGGCAAAAAGCACGGGGCTCCAGAAGTATGTTCTCTTCGGTGTTATAGTCCAGCGTTATGAGTTTAAATATCAGTAAACGTGCACGTACAATCATCTCCTTATAATAAAAGCTTGAGTGCACCTAAATCGGTTAAATGTTTGACCTAAATACGTTTGATTATTTCCACTAAGGACACAAGTGTTAAACATGTGACAGTCAATAATCTGATGGTAAAGGATGTCTTGGTTTAGTCTGTTGGAAATATTCCAGTGCATCTTAAAATCATCCAAACGCATTTGAATCAAGAGCTGTCCGTTCCTTTGGGGCTCTTCCTGCTGCAGGATCCTGCAGCTCGTCCCAAGTGTTTGAGGGCTGTTCTTGTCCTCCTCACATATTAATGCTTAATCATTTGCGCCTTCTACCGGATCCGTTGGAAACTGCAGGAAGAGGACTGCGGCTCAGACCACAGAGGCATCAACAATTCCGCCTTGTCTACTGGAATTCCAGAACTTGAAAGACTTTTTCTGCTCACTGTTTGCTTGAAAAATCATGATTGCTAAAATTATTATACATATTCCTTTATTTTTTCACACTGAAAAAGGTGATGTTCTTGTTTGCTGTAGTTCACTTTGACTAAACCACATTTCCTATATGTATTTAGTGATTTTCTGACATGGAAAGGAATGAAATAATTGTGTTTATCACTCAGATTTATCATGACTGATAATAACTTATTTCATATGAGGAAAAACTAAATGTTTACATCTTTTTTTCACTTCAGGGGAGGACACAGTTGGCTTCTACATCATTTTTATTGCTTTTATTGGATGAATGTGATTCATAAATGAACCAGCTGTTAAATCCCCACCCTTGTATTATTCTCCATTGGCTCTGCTGGGGCCTTCTTCCCTGTGTGTTTAGAAATACCTGGGCAGTGATAATTTACAGCTCTGTCATCCGAGTGCACAGACTTAGGAAGTTTAAGTTCATAGCAAAAGTTTTCTGAATTGAAGTTTGATGTTTTTTATCCTTGTATTTTCATTTTAGGCAAACACTGAAACAAACTAGAATTAGATGCAAAAGTAAACGAGTAATTCAGCTTAAAAGATGAAACTAAAACATTAGATAAACTCATGGCAAAGCCAGTTCTTTCAGCCTTTATTTGTTATAATTGTGATGATTATAGATTACAGCTTATGAAAATCCACATTCTAAATTTCAATTAGAAAATTGTGAAAAGGTTCGATTTTCTAGAATCATAACTAATGAATCCAAAACAACTGCAAAGGCTTCCTGAGCCTTCAGATGGTCTCTCAGTCTAAGCTGGATTACTGACACAAGGAGACTTTAGCTCCATGTTCTCATTTCCCATTTTCACCTTTACATCTGTTCTGAGCTGTAATTGTTGTATGATTTTTTTACTGCCTTATTGACCAGATCTCTCTTCAGAAAGATGTTTTAATGTCAAAGATATTTTAATAAATGATAAAAGGACCTACATTTATTTTGTTGCATGGAAACTGTCCTAAACCTGATGTAAAGCACAAGTCACCCGCCACCATCTTCTTTTCAGACATCTTTCTTTTAGGGTTTTATTTACCTTCTGAAGCGTCCAGCTGCTGCTCCACCTCCCAACAACTGTTCTGTAGGTGTTGCATTAATGTGAACATGTGGGTTAATGACGACCTTCAGCTGACTGAACCTGAGCGGCTCAGATGTGACACCAACATCTAAAGCTCTCTGTCACACACACACACACACACACACACACACACACACACACACACACACACACACACACACACACACACACACACACCTTTCCATAGGACAAACATCATGCTTTCGCATGGATTCTCACATAGAAGTACACACACACACACACGCACACACACACACGCACGCACACACACACACACACACACACACACACACACACACACACACACACACACACACACACACACACACACACACACACACACACACACACACACACACACACACACACACACACACACACACACACACCACACCTTTCCATAGGACAAACATCATGCTTTCGCATGGATTCTCACATAGAAGTACACACACACACACACACACACACACACACACACACACACACACGCACACACACACACGCACGCACACACACACACACACACACACACACACACACACACACACACACACACACACATACACACACACACACACACACACACACACACACACACACACGCCTTTCCATAGGACAAACATCATGCTTTCGCATGGATTCTCACATAGAAGTACAC